ATAAAGTGAAAATATACGTACCCTATATTTTATAAGTTTTACAAAATAATCGAACTCCCGTGTTGTAGACGGTGTGATCTCGACTTTGGAACCCGCACATACGTACCACGTTCGCGTAGTAGAAGGAGCACGCACAGGTCCATCCATTCAGGTGTCCTTGCCGGCCGAAGTTGTCAAAGTAACAAACATCACGGAGAAAATGTCTGACAAAAACTCTTGCTACTACAGAGGAAAATCGTACAAGATCGACGCGGAATGGTACGACGAATGCTTACACTTCTGCACCTGCACGGAAGGCGGCAAACCCGAATGCGTCTCGATAGAATGTCCCACGGACTTCGGACTGGACTTGTTGGATAGCACTTGTCTGGATTGGGAAACTGTTCCACCGGACTTTAAGCCGCAACCACCGAACTGTTGTCCTCAGGTAATATCATGTCATAGAATACATTTTTTAACAAAGTTCAAAAATAAAAAAGAGAATAATTTTGAACGAAGATTGATTCTTTTTGTTGAATGAAAATTCTGCTGGAACTTTTTCTCGTTTTTGCACATTCGCACATCATTGTGTTCACATCTTCCAGGAGGTGCGCTGTAGAAATAACGGCTCTTGCCTTTACGAAGATATCGTGTATGATAATTGGAGCAAGTTGCCGATGAATGTCACCGGCTGCGAGCATGAATGCTACTGCGAGTTTGGCAACGTGTCTTGCCGCGCCGTTTGCAGTGCTGTACCAGCCTTGCCACCTCCCAACTTGTGTCCTTATCAGGCAACGTTGGCGAGTCATCCTGACAATCCATGCTGCGTGCAATGGACCTGTGTCCCTCCACCCGCAACAGGTAAATAATGGTCTAGGTGGAAACGAAAAATGCACTTTCCAACATCCTAGCCCGGTGGTTCTTAATCGTTGAGGGTGCACGCACTACTTGGGGTGCGATATGTCCAGATCCATAATTCCCTGATTGTTATTGACACTTGGGCGCGTGTTTCCTCGGAAACTCACTTTTTACCGCTGCGATTTAGTGGAAGGGAGGCGAGATTTTTTTTGTACGTAACCATCCTTGAGGTTATTTATTATTTGAGGAATTCGCATACATGAATGCATATGGCGAAAATAATTCGCGCTCTCCCCGATTTCCAACCGCCGTCTTGAATTTGACAATGTACACCTTGGAATTGGATTCGGATTTACCCTGAAAGTTCCGTGAGAGAGATTTTCGCGCGAGTCGGGCAACACCTCGGCCTCCCACGTGACGTCACGTTATCCAATATTGTTAACCTTAGACGTATGTTCGGCGACGCCTCCCTAGAGTTCCTCGATCCCTTTGTACATACTCCACAATAACCGAGAGCAAAGCTGTAAATGCATGCTTCATATGGCCACGGCTGCGCTTGGAAAATGCGTAAGTTGGATCCCGCTGTAAATATGCATGGACTATGGACAACCTGTGACCGATCACTGTGACAATCTCTGTGACAATGGACTTTACTCATTGCAGGAATGAACGTGACGACCGCGTACCCCGGCCCCTTAGCTACAGACACGTTCGATCGGCAAACGATTGACAATAGCAAAAGACCGAATAACAAGTCGGAAACATTCAAGCCCAGCCAGGAACCGGAGCGTGGCGCTTCCTCCTTTTGGGGAGATTCAAAAACCTATAAGACCCAACCAGACGCCACTACTCACGAACATCCTCATTATCCCATGGATCCTGGGCATCCTACAGCGCCTTATAACGGACCTTACAGTCCCGATTACATGCCCACACATCCCACCGTGGAGAACGTTTTCCATTTGCCCACCCACTCCGAAAAGCCGATATTGACCCCGAAAGAAAAGTCCAAGTCGAAATCCGACAATAAGAAGCCCGTAGAGCCAGTAAAGCCTCACAAGGACATGATCGATCAGTATTTCCCCGGCCCGTTAGCACCTAATAGGTTCCCCGACAAAACCACTTCGACGTCCCCGTACTCAGTCAACGAGAATCAATACATCTCAGGTTTATCGAACCCGAACAAACTGCCCCCTCAGCAGAAAGACGTTTTGATCAATCACCCCCCACTGATTTCGCTGAATCCTCATCCGGATATGCTAGGTCCACACTTTCCTTATGTTTCAAACAACAACAAAGAGAACATTTCTCCAGCTGGCTTCAATGACCAATTCGATAACTTAGCCAGACCTCCTTATCGGGGTCCAATTCCTGTCAAACCCGACACGATCGACCCGAACGTAATTGTTTCATCAGTTCCGAAAAAGAAAGCCATGCCAAGCAATCCGTTTGTCGACACGGACAAAACGAAAACATCTCCGGTACTGCCGGGTCGGCCGAAACAGGGTCAGAGAAATCCCGATCAGGAGATCTTGCCGGAGCAACTGTACCACCTGATAAATTTGCATCCCGACCTAACTCAGCTCGATCAAGCTCCCCCTCAAGGCCATCTAGGTCTGTACGACCTTCACCAGCAGATCTCTGGTCAAAAACAGCCGCCCAATGATCGCGGCCCGTCCGATTACTTCGGGACGCAGTCCTCCGGGCCAAAGAAAGTGATCAAGCCCCACATCTCGGCGCAAAAGAACGAGAACGGGCAGACCACTTATCACATTCACACGCCCGACATCCCTACATCTACGCAACAGCTCGAGGAACTGTTGGCGCATATCAGCCAGCACGATCCCAATCCTGGTCCTTTCCAACACTATCCCGGACAACCAGCCATACCTCATAATGTACCGAACGGCCCGCCAACGCCGCCCATTCTACCGCTTCACATAGACGCTCACATACCACATTCAGGACTCACGCATTTGAACCATCCGTTCGCAGCACAAACGCCAAACCAGTCAGGTTCGTTCCTGATTACCAGAAGAGATAATGTACAGGATCTTCGGTAATAGCCGCGCGATTAGTGAACGAGCCAATGCACCTCGTCGAAAACCGAAATGATTCTTCAGCTTTAGATGCTTTATCGATCCCTCTCGCAATGTTCAAAGTCTGCACGTCTAAGCCTCGAAGTTGCTCTCAAAAATAAAAAATCTGTTAAAATCTGTTTGCTAGTAGTCGAGAAGCATGATTTTGTCGGTCTGATCACGATAAGAAATCGACATTTTCTGGGATCTTTCTTATTTAGTCTGTTGCGATTCAATAATATTCAGTCATTTCAGTTTTCTATAAGGAATATCGGCACTTGCACGAGATACGCTTGTTACTAAAGATCTTGTATGGATGTACAAGGAACATCATGTTAATCTCGAAGCAGATCTTTCCAATTAAAGACATTAGCTGTGATCGAAAATTTACAGAAACGCGTAGAGATGAACGAGTCATGAGAATAAACTTCGATGTAAATTCGTGAAGACATATGATGGGAATGAACTTGAAACCAGGGAGTGGTGGAACAAGTTATTCTTAGAACAGAGCTCAAGTGAAAAAGAGCAATATATAAAAAAAATAATTACTTAAAAATACTTACATTAAAAATTACATTAAAAATACTTACATTAAAAAAAATAATTACTTAAAAATACTTACATTAAAAATGAGTATCAGAATTTATAAGAGAAAAAAAGAAAAAAAGACAGAGTTGGACAATTCAGCACCTAAATGGCAAGAGAATTTAGTAAATTTCAATTTACTATTAATCAACAATATTAACCAAGCAACTCTCTACTGAGAAAATTAATTTATATGTATTTACGTCTTACCATTCAACCACTCACTGTATGTCTTCACACATTTCTAGGCCCCACTAGCAAGATCGGCATTCTTGCTATTACTATAATGCAACATTGTAACAGAATAACAGATATATTTTCACGTATTATAGGTTTGGACCATAACATTGTACCTCCAGGCTTTCCATTGCCCGGAAGTATACCTGGATTCCCGGCTGCGCCACCCTCCAACGAGGTCACTGTGCAAATACTGGAGGCATTGGATGAACACACAGTTCGTCTGGTGTTTACCGTACCTCAGGTGCTGGTGGGACTGCACGGGAGAGTCGAGCTGCGATACACTAGTGATAAGACGTGAGTATACGGAGATAGGATACCATGAGACAGATGACAGATGAGACAGATGAGTTATCGATTTGTGTGTGTGTGTGAGTGTATGTAAGAAATCTCATCGCATCCCACAGGAATTTTGACCCATCCACATGGAAGCTACAGGTGTTTGCTCCTCCTAATGACCTGATCGCGACACAGCAACTCGAGTTCGAGTTGGGCGGTCTGGAGCCGATTACCGAGTACAAGGTGAAGATCACAGTGCGCCTGAAGGATCTGAACAACAGCCCGAGCAGCAAGATCTACAACGTGCGCACGTTGGAGAAACGCGCGGACGAAGCAACTTTGCCTCCGCAGATCCCGATCGATGCTGAGCTCCGCGCAATGGAGATGAACTCGAGCTGGGTCAACATCATGTGGAAGAAGTTCACGCAATACGAGTTACAGTTCATAGACGGCGTGCAATTAAGATACAAGGAACACGATGGTAAAGTTTACGCGGCAACACCGTTGATCCATCGTTCTGTCACGAATTACGTAATCGAGAACCTCAAGCCGGCGACCAAGTACGAAGTCGGTATCTACTTCATACCGTTCGCTGAACAAACAACGGAATTAATTAGCGAGAAAACGGTAAGACCTTTGATCGATTATCGCGCGTTGCGTTTGTAGTGTCTCGTGGCTCTCGTGATTAATCGTCCATGAGAATACCTCAATCAGGAAATTAAACGACACTTAGGACACTGATGAATCTGTGCGTTCAGCCTGTATTAATGGCTGTCACTTGAAACTTATCTTATGTGAAGTACTCAGAGTGGCATGCAAAGTTACACTGCTTTACAGACCTTAGAGTTATAGAAACCATATCTAACCATCGAATCTACAAAGATCCTTAATATCATGGATATTGTTCTCTTTTGTAGATCGAGATAACTACATCTATGGAGCCTGACCCCTATTCTTTCGATGTGAAAGTCGAAATTAAGACCATCAAGTCAACGGACGTGGAAGTGACATGGAGCGGCGTGCCATATCCGGAGGACAAATACGTGAACATTTACCGAGCGATCTACCAGAGCGACACCGGCAAAGAAGACACTAGCACCTTCAAAATCGCCAAGAGGGACTCTCATGCCAAGACCGTGATCAGCGACTTGAAACCTGGCACCAGATACCGATTATGGCTCGAGATATACTTGACGAACGGCAGGATAAAAAAGAGCAACGTTCAAGACTTCGTCACTAAACCTGGTGTCCTCTTACCGGCCACCGTGTCTCAGCAAGGTAGACGATCTTCTCGAGCAGATTTGATCCTTGCTTCAAAGATCTGATAGAATTACATAAGAAAAATCTATGTGAACATGTTTTTGATAGAAAATGATAGGCATATATATTTGAATGAATATTTAATCGTTGAAAATAAGTTACGCGATAAAAAATGAAAGAAATTTTAGGAATTTAAATTTCCGATAGAGAGAAATGATTATTACATACAATCGTGCACTAATCTTCTTTAATTAATCATTAGAAACCTACGTAGTCATTTGCAAAGTGCTAGACGACTTTTCTATTCAGTTTGACGTACAAGTATACAACGATAGACATCGCGCGTGATCTTTAATTAATAACTCAAAATTTTACGTGATCGTTTGCGAAATGGTAAAGGAATTTTGTGTTCATTTTGAGAAATTCTATCTGCATGTATATATGCTAACGAATATATCATGAATTATCAAACATCCTGTATTCTCCTCTATAAATCCTTATCAAATTTTTTAGTCAGCGATGTTTTTGTCTTTTGCAATCATTTTGTTAGACTAACTGATCGTCTCTTATTCCTCAGCCGGAAAACTCGCGTCGCTGCCTCTTCACGAAGGGGACTACTACGGTCCTCTGGTGATAGTGGCTATCGTGGCGTCCTTGGCGATATTATCGACTCTGATCCTGCTGATGATGTTGATGAAGAGACGCAGTAGCAGTAAAGCCGACATATCACCCCGTAAAACGACGTCGGCGTACGACAATCCATCCTACAAGGTAGAATTACAACAAGAAACTATGGGTAATTCGCTGTTATTGTTTTCTACGTAGCGTAAGGTAAAAACGCATCAATATTATATAGACGCATCGAGCGTTCGCATTCTGCACACTAATTTCCTCACAACCAAGAGTATCGTGGAAAATTACACATGTTTGTTTTGTTTATAAATTCTTCGACATACACGTCAGATGAATATACGACTTTGGTGCGTTTACCTTGTGATAAATATTTTTGGTCTTACGAAAGAAGCACTTAAATTAACTTATTTAATTATACTATCTTATTATACTTATTGAATTATACTATCTTATTATACTATCTTAACAACTAGTCAACACAAGGATATTGAGCGTTGTCTCTTTTTAGACTTGTGAAGACGCTGTCACGATATCCAACGGGAGGAACAAGACTATGACCGACCACGAGATGACTACTATCAATTCGAATGCCAAGGAAACTGCCTAAAGCTCTATAATTTATTAAATCTATATTTATTTATACATATCGCTGCGCGGCGAAAACCTGAAGATCCGTCTAATAAATCCGTCCATATACGTATAACGATGTATTATACGTACAAATGTTAAGAAAAAGGTATTACCGATCGATCAATTCACAGTCACACACGTCGAAAATAATCGTCAAGTGGCGTTGAAGCGACATACATATATATATGCCTGTTGTGGAAGACGCAATACTTTTATTAATAGTTTCGAAATACTCAAGCCGCAACGCATACACTGATGGCTTGCAATTTCATGCGAGTCATCTCGAGACAGAGATTAATAATTATATGAAGTTACATTGTATTAAAACTTGTATATAGCGCATATATTATACGACATTTACGATTTTAAGATACGTCGTTATTAATAGTCGTTATTTGAAACTTATTTCAAGTGAGATAGTCAGATCTGAATTTAGAACCAGATGTAAATTTTTCACGTGAATTGTATTTATAAATAGGTAAATAAATAAATAAATAAATATATATATATATATATATATATATATATATATATATATATAGTTACGAATATCGTATGATTCAAATATCAAAAACTCTAATATAACTTGATATTGAAATCTGAATATCTCATGTGAGACAAATTTCAAGTTAGGACTATTAATAGCCTAAATCTCTTTTGTGGAAAAAGGATAACAAAAAAAGAGGAAGGCAACACGAACAAATCCATCGGATTTGTCTGTACTTAAAAATTTTACGTTGTAATATCCATTTATATATATATATATATATATTCACGTATATATTACTCGGTTAATATGTTTTTTGATGTATTAAAAGAAATTAATTACTTAATTAAGACACTTATAAGTAAATAGCTTCACACGTCGTGTCTTATTGGACCGAACGGATTTTGTACAGTTTACATTTGTATTTTTAGAGAGAAAAATTTATAAAATATATAACATTATTACAAATTTGTGCAAGTGTAAATATCACGCCCGAGTCAGCCATAATAATCAATCGTCATACTTTAAAATAACTTTATTTGGATTCTCTTCAAGTATAATGCAATTTTCCCATATCCCATTTAACAATATAAGTAGCGAATAAACGTTTCTACGATAAACTTCCTTATCCTTAGATTTACGTAATTGTATGTATGCGTCTCCGTCAAGTGTCTCTACAGTAAATGAGGAAAGATAGAGTTATTGGCGACATAATTACGTATATGTATCTTCAAAAGTATCATATATAAAAATATTATATTCAAAAGTAATTATAAAAAAGTATTATAAAAAGAGGAAGCGCGCACACACACAAGAAAGAAATAATGTAAAATTTTTTACATTATTTACAGGAAAAGATATTTTTATTTCCTCATAGATTCTTCAATATCGGACGGTGCGCTTTTGGTAAAAAGATATTTTTTCAAAGATTCTTCCATGTCGGACGGTGCGCTTTTCGGGCTGAATTTTTCCACCGGTTTGCCATTCCTGTCCACGAGGAACTTGGTGAAATTCCACGAGATGACGCCTTCAACTCCTTTCTGGTTCTGCAGCCACTTCCACAACGGATGGGCGTTCTCCCCATTTACGTCGATTTTCGCGTACATATCGAAGGTGACGTTGTATTGCTGCACGAATTCCGAGATCTCTTTGTTCGTGCCCGATTCTTGATTACCGAATTGATTGCAGGGGAATGCGAGAATTCGTAGACCGTTCGCCATGTACTTTTCGTAGAGTTGCTCAAGCTCCTTATAATTCACGTCCGTGAGGCCGCAGTGACTGGCGACGTTGACGATGATGAGCACATTGCCACGATATTTCTCCAGAGGTACATCGTTACCGTTGATGTCCTTCGCGTGGAAATCGTAGACCGAAGCAGCGGATTCCCAGTTGGTTTCTTGGTCAAACAATTTTGGAGCTGATTTAGTCATCCGTTTCCCACAATCGGCGTTTCTCGAGAAGACGACAATAAGCAGGAGTAACGACGTAATTCCTGTGTTTATATAATACAATTATTATTAGTTAACACTGTCACATCTGACAAGATTGATAAATCCAAGATATATCTCAATCAAGGCTGATAAATCAAAGACTGAATTACTCTTAACACCTCTTAAAGCACTTCTTGCCTCCCTTGTTTCTCTTCTCTTTTATTTCTCCTTTTTGATGAATTTTATATTTTTCTCCAAATCTTTGTTTGATTCTGATGAGAGGCTTAAATACCAAAGTAAAATTGTAGTAAACTGATAGTATACAAATATTTCAGGATGAGAATATAATAAAAAACATAGTCAGAACTTCTGTAGTTGTTTTAGGAAAAATGTTCGTGTCTATTCCCGCATAAAACGGAAGAACGTACTGAATATTTTCTATACATGAAGATAACATACAGATGTTATCAGACATCCTGGAGTATTCCAGGAAGTTCTGAAAACATGCAAGATGATCTCAAGAAATATTATACTACCTAGAACTGTCAGAATTTCTGTCATTATCTAAGAAACATTTTTCATTTCTTCACGTATACAAAGCGGGAGAACGTATCGAATATTTTCTATACATGAAAATGTATATACACATGTCACAAAGTGTTCTGGAGTAATCCAAGATGTTCTGAACACGTACAGGATGATCTGAAGAAGTCTTGTGTTCTATACTAGGACTTTGCACAGAATAAAGAAAAAAAGCATTTAAAAAATTGCCGTTATTAAATGATTAAATCGTCACTAGCGTTATTCAGACAAATTCTATGTGAAGAGATACAAATGAAATAAGCAATTATGAGGATTAGAATCTTTCCGTCTACTCACGCAACATTCTGACGGAAACACCAGAGACTCCGGTGGTGGCCGAACGCTTACTGAGATCGCTCTGAAGTGATCCTGATATATCACTACCAAGCACGTGTGTCGCTAGGTGAGACAGCTTGATGATTCACTGATAAATAAAGTGAAATTACCTGGTGGGCACGTAATGCAATGTAGCGCTTCGCGCGTGATAATCCTCAATTCCAGAGTTTGATAATGTATACAAGTTTACTGATACAGGCTCTTTGTTGTTTCATATTTGCTCGTTTTGTAAGGCCTTGAAGACACATTGACCCACACCGATCTCTGTCCTCGAAGCGTGTGCCGTGCCATGTGTTTATAGCGTTTGCGATCAATGTCTCGATATGCGCAAGGCTATTTGCAGCTACGTGCAAAGTTAAAGACCTATCCGAGTAGGATCGCGTGATCGCGTAGTCGCGTACGCGCAGGGAGAACAAAATCGATAAACTAAAGAAAAATCAAGTAAAACGCATTAAACCTCGTTATGCGCGTTATATACGTGATCGCCGATTGATATCTGAATTAAAGCTGATTTCGCCGAATTCAAATGAAATTAATCGACAGTTAATTCAGCCGACAAAGTCGGCATCAACATGGAAAATAAAAAGCAATTTATTGTTAAAAAACAGTAAGAAAATTCCCTTATTCTCTCGTTATAACTTATTGTTTAAAATTGCTATTAGTCGAGTACTAATTCCTCCATTTTGCTAATATACGAAGAATTTTTAATTTCTTACTTATTGTTGAACGACAAATTATATAGTTAGAAATCGCTGCTGGCTATTCTGCCAGTATATCGTTGATTAATTTGATTGAAGTTTGGGGAACGTTTAGAATTATTAATAAAACTTTCTTAGAGTTGCCAGTAAGATTCTCTTGTGAAATGTAAATCGTGTGAAGCGGACTTAACTTCGTTTCAAGATGCTCTTTCATGCAGTTGAAATCAGAACCGGTTTTCAGCATTAAAAACATGCTCTGGAAACCTTGAGACACGACCAGTTTCCTGCAATTTAAAGATGGGCGATGCGCAATCAATAAATCGATGATCGATTCTTTCTTCTCGATGATCGATTATCTTCTCGATATTTGCACGTCGATTAATTTTTACGTCGATAATCTTTCTGTGATTCAATATTATCAAGTTTCATAATTTAAAACAATTTGGCTAGTCCTTTTGAACAATTTATTTAGACGCTGTTTAAACAGAGAAAAGAAGAGAGCCGCTTTTAATCGTATGTGAAGCGCTTTCTGTACAACCGTAGCATAAACTACGTAGCCAATATCTGTGATTTCTTGATTCTGTTCTGTGCTAAGAACTAAATGATATGAGTTAAACAAAAAAGAATAATCATATGCTGTCTTTACACATACGGCTCGACTGAAAGTGGTCCATGATCACTTTTCTTCTTCTATCTCTCTAGTTTAAATAAACTTTGTTTAAATTTCTCCTAAACATTGCTAGTTAAGCTAACGGGTTTCTCGTGTTGTCGCTAGATGGTGCCAGGTAGGCTGTTGACATGTGTGACATTATAATACATAACCTAGAAATACAAACGCAACCGTTCGCAAAATGGTAAGTAAATTCGTTAAATTTTATTATGTATTTTATTAAGTTATATGTAATCGAATAGTGTGTCTTATATTATCTAATAAATCTCGTATTTTTTAGGCGCGAAATGCAGAGAAGGCTATGTGAGTACAATCTCATCTCCATTTTTTCAATCTTTTACACGTTTTTATGATTTATTCAATGACCGTCTTATAATTTCTAATTACTAATGCCGCTGATATTTTCAGGACAACGTTGGCTCGTTGGAGAGCAGCGCAAAGTAATGAAGGAGCAAGGAAAGAGCAGGAACGGAGGCCATACCTAGCCTCAGAATGTAGAGATTTACGTAAGGCAGAAAAGTGGAGAATGCAAATAATCAGAGAAATAGCCAAGAAAGTTGCTCAAATTCAAAATGCCGGACTTGGAGAATTTCGTATTCGTGACTTAAATGATGAAATTAACAAATTGCTTAGAGAAAAACGACACTGGGAAGCACAGATAAAAGAGCTCGGTGGACCTGACTATTCTAGAGTCGGTCCTCGCATGTTGGACCACGAAGGACGCGAGGTAAAGTCACAAATTATTATGATAGTCTTGAGACCCATGCATCCTCATATTTTCCACTGAATCTTTATATTTTGCATTCAGTAATGAATGAAACAAAAATGGTCATGGGACTCGTGTATCTTCATACTTTTCATTAAAAAATAAACTAGAATTGATATATTAAAATCCTCTGACATCAACAATCAAAGAAATCTTGTAAAAAGAGCTAATAAGAGCTGAGCGAATAAAAGCTAATAAGAACTGAGCTCTAAGTAGTTGTACATTAAATATGTATAAAAATGTGATCTTATATTATCATGAATATAGTATACAAATCCCTCACTGGTTCCTTTCCAACATAAAAGTAGAGCTTCCTAAAACCCAGCACTTATAGGTTCTTCTTTGCAAGGTTTCATTCATTAATGAATGAAACATTTTACTGAAGTACTTTGATCGAATAACAGGTGCCTGGCAATAGAGGTTACAAGTATTTTGGAGCTGCCAAGGAACTGCCTGGCGTCAGAGAATTATTCGAGCAAGAACCACCACCACCCCCCCGGAAAACCCGCGCGGAATTGATGAAGGACATCGACGCGGACTACTATGGTTATATGGACGACGATGACGGTATCCTGATACCATTGGAACAAAAAGCGGAACAAGAAGCGAAAGAAAAGTGCATCAACGAATGGATATCTCGCGAGAAAGATCCAGAATCTGCGGACGTTGAGACCACGGCACAGAAGTCGATTCCCACGCAGCAAGATATCCAGGAGGCTCTGTTAGCTAGGAAGAAAAAAGAACTACTGGACAAATATGGTCTGGATTGAAGCCTGTGCTGAGATTAGTCTGCGCTACCTTGTGCACACACAAGTAACTATTTTTTAATAATTTGTATATATATAATTGAACAATAATAAATATATATTCGTAAATTTATTGATTTAATTATATATTAGAATACATTTTTATAAAACGCGATGGATATAATAATTATTGTTAATTTATAAGTACGTAATAACATTGATTAAGGTAATTAGTTTGTGCAGTAGACATTCAAACTTGAATTGATGCTTATCGAGAGAGAAAAAACGGGTGCTGTAGATAAAATATAGATCAAAATCCAACGGTAGTCTGTTTATAATCTTCGCGACCTGGTCGTTTCCTCTCTATCGTTTTCTCATGCCTTCCTCGGGAAATGGATGAAATACCGCAATAAATTAGAACGACGGGATTGATTACGGTACGTATTATCTCTCGTGACTCTGTAATAAAATCTAGAAATCATCGCACACACTTATCTTCCTTTTGTATGCTCGTATTTGTTGCAATGTTTAAAGACTATTCTACAATCGCGTGAGCGTGGTCGTGAACGTAAAAGCCAACCAATCGGAGTGTTTTGTTCACTGATTGCTTTATTGTAACTGGTTGTCGTAATCACTCACAACCACCTGTGACCACACTTACACAATTATAGAACGGCCTTAATGAATCCTCGTTGCAAGATAATTCAATGCGTTGGTATGCTCGACTTTGTCTCTTGTCGATACTGCAAGCATCTACCGGCAGACGAGTCCTACCTAGTTCTGCAGCATGTCCACTATACGAAGCTAGGGTGACCAGATATCCGCGAAAAATGAGGGAAAATAACGTCTCACTGCCTATTGTATCTGCTCTTGTTTACACATACACGCACACGCACATGTCTACACACACTTACGCTTCATTTCTATAAGTTCGATATAATAATGCGCAAAATACTCTACTCACAAACAGATGGACCGATTCTTCGTTTAATTTCGAAGCTCGAACGGAACCTTAATCGGCTGAATTCAGGTGCGAGAAGGCTCGTCCTTCCTCGGAAAACTTCTAATCTAGAAAGATTCGTTAGATCTGCCAGAATGACGAAAGGGTTCATTTTTGAGACCCAAGTATGTGTCGTATGATGAAAAATGGGGAGGTCTGGTCACCCTATACGAAGCCAGCGGCGTCGACTTTTATCACGCAAAGTGTGAAAAACGCTGTAAGATTAATATTATCACGATTATGTTACATCAGATTCGAAGGAGTAAAAGGCCTAAAAATTACCCTGAAAAACTACCCGCTAATGAATTACTTCATATGCCGACTGGAACTCTTGGAATTCCTCTAATTCCAGCTCGCGTTATACAAAACGAATGATCGGTTACCTCGAATCGAGAGATCAACTACCTCGTTTACTTGATTTAGATAAATGTAATTCTCTCCCCCCCCCCATCAGTATCGTGCCGTTTATAAACAGACTGTACATTATACGATGACATCGCTAAGGCTCAGAAGTGCTCTCTAACAATAATATGATTATATATAGCTATCTATGATAGCTTTATGTAAATCATACTAATGCTATAAATCGTGATGGATTTTGTATTTAGCGCCAAGTGAGACCGTTTGTGTTCACAGCTGAAGATAATGTCGAGCTACGAGATGGAATTGTGTGCAATCATCACAGCAACGCATAAAAGACACTCGAGCGACAAATGATGGGACGAAAATCAACGGGCTTCCTCGAGTCTCTCTCACTCGGGGGGGGAACAATTCGATTTGAATGGCGGCGTACACTTGGCGCTAAATGTAGACACAAGAGGAACCTCGCGCTAGAAGAACGTGACGAGAAAGTCTGCTGTGCTCCGAGGGAACACTTCTGAGACCGCGCGATCGCTTTTACTCCTAACGCAAGTGACAGAATAGTTCGAGCATGGATTAATATAACCACGATGAAAATTTACCACTAGAGGCTTGAAAAAGTCAAGCGTTAAATAATTCACAGCATCTGTTTGTCCGTTAATCAGTCACCGGCTTTATCCGGGGGTCCCCTGACGATTTTTTTTCGTTTTCTTTTTTTCTTCTTTTGGTCTAAGCTCATCTTCCACGTTATATTGATGCCGTCCCTTCCGTATCTGCCATAATACAGTGATAACAATTCGGTTAACACGAACATTCAATAGATGTTGCAAATACGTATAACACATGTGCGAACTTTTCAGATACTTTTTTTGAGAATCTCTCAGCTATTTTACAGCGTTTCCCTCGATTTGAAGGGCGTCGAGAAACAACCTGTATGTGTACTCACAACATCCTCTTCGAGACGCTTCTGTCGACCAAGGAGAAGCGCAAGTAGCCCAGATAGCGCAAAACATTCTATGAATATTTTTATGAAATACGAGTGTTCTTAATTCCAGAATATTCAAATCGAATATTCTATGAATAATACATATAATATAGCAGGCGGGAACTAGTATATTTATAATAGAAAAGAACATTCGTAAAATTTATTCATTGCACATGTGCAATGCATTTACGTAACTGAAAAGTTCTCCGAATGGTAATATGCATTTGTTATAACTTAGTAATGTAACGTATCTACGAAATAGAATACACGAATTATTCTTTTATAACTGTAAAAGCACAAAGTCAATAACTAATCTACATTTTACAAATATTTTATGCACATTCATAGAACATTTGTATCATTCGAACATATTATGAGCGTACTGTCAACATACAACAATATTTTTAATACATTCGTAGAATGTACAAATATATATAAGGAATATTCATAGAATATTCCTGTGCTATCTGGAAGAGTCTGTTATTTGCGTTGTCGAATAACGACTAGGCGTCTGATATTTAGGTAACAGGCGCGAGCCTCTCGTACAAAATGCCCGAACAACGAAAGAAATATTCCGCGCGATACATCGAAATCGCGACACCCTAACGGTACATGCAACGTGCAGCAACACGGCGGGAACCCCCTCGTGTGTACTCGTCCCATAAATTCCCTCTATATATAATATTAACGTTACAGATTATAACATCTCTATCTAACGTACGTACTCATGTACTCGTGTATGTTTCTAAATCGAGTTACAGTTATATCGACTCTACAATCACATCTGCGTTTACGGAGTGCGTTTTGCGAGTCATTGTGCGTCATTGAATTGTGTGAATCGCCCCGCTCCTCGTTACACGCCTTGATTTATACCCGATCGAGATATCTTCGTCTGAAATCGTCGTCATCATCACTATTATCAACATCGATGTCGTCGTCGTCGTCGTCGTCGTCGTCGTCGTCATCGTCGTTATCGTCATCGTCATCGTCGTCATTATGTCACAGCGCCAATTGCCACCCGCGCGCATGTATCAATCCATTCTCGAACCATCTCAAGACACCAACATACACCCGTGTTCTTAATCCATAGTTTAACGCCACTTGCTCGCCGCTTCTAAGTCCGTTTCGATTCTAAACTCCTTCAGACATACCTGAGCGAAGTGTAAGACGCCACTTTGGATTAGGATTAAAGGTTGCGGCTAAGTGAACCGGACTAATCTAAAGGTTAATGAAGACCGTTGTATATAAAAAAGAACGTAAATGCAAAAGCATAGCGTCTTGGCGAGCGGAACAGCTGGCATGAACTTTGCTGGCTAGTAACGAGCTTCCTCGATATTGGAAGAGGGTCAACGGACAGTTCAGCTATACTACTACTTAGCCGATCTGTTTAAAATAGTAGATACAAAACGACAATGTTATGTAATAGTGTTTAGCCTGAATTTCAACTTAAATCGATGGGAATGAATAACACGAAGATTGATTTACACGGAAATTCAGATTGAACATAATCTTGTTGTTTTGTATTTATCATTTCAAGCAAGGCAATACCATCGATTCATCATCCAAATAGAGTCAGGATGAATCACCATGTTGTTTCGCGAAATTCGACGTCTTAGTCGGCGGAAAATGGTGGCCGCCACTTTTGCGCGAACTCCTGTCAGAATCGACTGTCGAGGCGTTTGCGCTTCGTTCAGGTAATGTCTGACTCCCGGCTCACGATATACCGAGTACAATGTTATGGATACCGATACCAAATGATGGAAATCGGATAGTTCGTACACGTCAAGGTAAAAGTATCAATTCCCGGACACGTGTCTAATCCTGAACATTCCTATTGCTTTGGCCTTTAAATACAAATATTTAAACTTTCAACATAAAATGTATGTATATACATAATACTTGTGTATATATTTTTCATGTTGAAAATTTGAAATATCTATATTTAAAGACCAAACAATAAGAATGTCCAGGATTAGGTACATGTCCGAATATTAGCACTTTTACTTTAAAGGCGCGGCGAGAACACGGGCCCAATATTCATAGTATCGATTCGTGCGAACAAGCACAAGCAGATCGAATATCGTCGAATGTACTATAAGATGGATCAATACTGACACACCGCGACACAGTAAAAGCGATGATTCACAACTTGAAGAACAACAACGGCGTTGCCGAGATGCTTAGACAGCGCGTCCACAATGTGACAACGCGTTTTTCATAAAATGGAGCGATTTTACAGGCAAATAAACCGCGAGCGAGAATGTATTTTTCGATAAAAGTAAATATAACTTTACATCCGATCTCGAAAGCTTTTACCTAAAATTGTTACCTAGCGACGAAAATTAATGAGACTGTGAATACACTGAAAGCATCGAGAAAAAGAATGTTGAGAACCCGAATTTGCTTGTTATCGATATTATATTAACTCGCGCATCTAGCAGATCACCCGACGCGCTTGAAAACAGCGAATAGCAAGCCAAGGCGTCTCAACAATTTCGTTATTGTTCTACAAAACAATAGTTACGATCGCATGATGACAATTCTCACTGTGTCGGTGTTGTCTTATCTTGAGGGTGGACGCACGAATTATTTGCAAAATTCAAAGCTCCCGTTGTTCACTGCGATTGAATACCATGTCTCCAAAGGTGCAATTGACTCTCGCACCTTTCGTGCAAATCAAATTCGAACGATCCTGTCGTGCACCGTCTTCTCACTTTCGGCTCGAAATTCCGCGTTTTCTTGACGCGTGGCCACCCTTACGGCATCTTACAGTACAGTGAAGTCGAGAGATGCAAATCATCCATCTCGGAGCGAGTTCGCCGGCCGCTCGAATTCCGCCTTACGTTCCACGACGATTCTCTGCGTTTAGCGTGGCGCGCGGCCTAAAAAGGGTGAAAGGCACAAAGTAAAGAATAAACGGTTCAGATTGGCTCAGGCACATGTCGAGTCGGAGAGCGTCGCACCACGTGACAGGACAGGCACGATGAATTGGGCCGGTGCGTCGGTCAACGGCACGCGATCGTCGGAACCCTCGACATTGAAGACAACCCACCCGCTCTGCTCTCACCAGCGTATCAAAAAGGGAATGTACTTGGTACATTTAGACGTGAGAGTTTGCAACTCAGAGATTTACAACATCCCAAACAGCATCCCGAACAACAAAAACAAAAGCCCGAGGAACCTCTAAGAGGGCGTCTAAGAGTTTTCTCGCGCATGATGTTGGAACGTTCCTCCGCAGACGCCTCTGGACGAGACGCCACTTGAAGAAAAAACACTTGCGTTTGTCCAACAGGCGTTCGAGAAAATTGGTACCTCGCCTTTCAGACGCCTTTGTGACGCCACTAGATGCTTGCTTAGCCCTCATTCAACGAACATCTTACAGTGATCTAGAGAACGTTTCTCCGCAATGTTAATAAACACGCTTGTTCTCGTCTGACAGACGTGTGAGAAGTTAGCGCAATTTTAGGACATCATAGTGTACGCTGTTGGACTCGTGTTCGACAAACCGATTCGAGAAATCGGCATCTTTCAGATGATTCTTACAATACTATTAGACGCTCGCGTTACTCGTCTAACGAACGCACATCCAAGAGGTCAACGGGACGTCTTTATGAGACGTCGTGATTGGACACTTGCGTTGTTCGGGATCCGACTTGCGACTGACAGATCGACTGAAGTATTGACTTTTGTTGTTTAACCGGGCAGTACACGGCGTGTCTCCGCGAGATAAGGAGAAAGTAGTCGAGATCCCTCTCGAGACAAGACCGCCGCGAGCGGCTGTTCCTTCTCCCGGAAATGCGTCTCCTTTTTCCTACGTTCCTCAGCGAGCTACCGAGGCTCAAATCCGGTCCATCCACGCTCGAGAGCCACTGCTCCAAGAATCATCAATCCATGGCAAGCGCTCGCTCGCGGCCACTTCAAGGACGCAGCAGCGAGTGCCAGCGTTGTACCTGCGTCGGCTGTCTTGCCGTTCGCATGTCGTTCCAATGCTGCAGTTCCTCGGACCCGGAGCTGTTCAGGCCGAGGCACAGCCAGCCGATCATCTCCCGTCCCTTCCTGCCCATTCCACCCCGTCGGCGATTGTATACGGACAAGAAGAGCGTGACGTCTCCCAGTTGGAACAAAGCGACCTGCCCGTGCGAAGGAAATTTGGTGTAAAGCAAGAGTGTAAGATCCTTTTTAAGGACAGCAGTCGCAAATAAATAATCTAATATTCAGATCAGCCAATCTTTCAATTAAGAAAAATTAAGTAAAATATTAAATTGGTTCAAAAGATTTATTATTTTCTCAACAAATAAGATTGTCATGAAAAGTTACCTGGAATATGAAAGTCTCCTTGTAGAGAGGGTTTGGCTGGGCACGCTTCAGACCAGTCTTCGACCGGCCCATTTCGTGGCCGTTGCTGTCGACCAGGGCGAGCTTCACGTAGGTATCAGGTGGTTTTGTGTCATTTCCTCCCCCGCCGCGGAAATGCGAACCCTTGATTATCTCCACCGATAAGCGGCCCGTCGTGCCGTTGTATGCCAGACCGATTAGAATTTCCGCGACACTACCGCCCTTCATGCTGCTGCCGTAAGGTGGTACGGCAGGTGAGGCGTACGACTGGACTGACTGTTGAGATCCTGTGGAGTCGCTACGAGTGAGACTGCTGGTGGTTCCCCAATCCTGTGCCTAAAAGCGTCATACGATTGTAATACCTTCTGCACAACTTATCAGATACAATTCAGAGCGTTACAAAAGATTATAGCTACGCAAGTAGCTTTATTATATATTATATTATAATTTTCATAATATAGCTTTAATTTGTCATGTGTAGTTTACTTAAATTTTCAACACTTACAATTTTAATATAAAGTCGATTATAGTTATTAAGTGTACACATTAAGAAAAAAGAAAATTATCTAATTTAATTTAATTATTAAGAAAATTATTATTAATCATATTATTTATAATATGATATTTATATTATAGCTACACACACATGTAAATATTACAAATGTACATTAAAAAAATACATTACAGATCACCGGTCATGAAGAAGTGGAGAAGACTAGAATATTTTTTACCGAGGAAGATAGCGGCGGCTGAAGCGTCAACCAGAGAGTAGTCTCCAGCTGGAGGTTGATCTGATCGAAAGACACTCTGGCTTCGCCCAACAATCTCTCCCGACGCATCATCCTGCCGCCCCAGAGGTACACTCTGAGCCGCACTCCCATCGCATTTACGTCTTCTGGGTTCACACGGGGAAGCAAGAAGCTTTCCATGTACTGCGGGGACGTTCCTTGACGGACTCGAGTCTTGCGTCTCTGCTTCTTCGACGGTAGAAGGACCAACCGTACCTGGCTACCACCGATACCGGGAGGATAGTTTCGACCTTGCAGCACGTGAACCTGTGGGGATAATGTTAGTCGGGAGGCAAGTTAACATGAGAGAAGTGCGAGAGAGCAATTGTGCGAATTGGAAGTGGCGACTAAACGTCATAAAGTAAATATACGAACTGTCATCTCGCGCATCGGGGCGTCATATAAGAAAGCGACTTCCAGGCCGCCAACTTCCTCGGTAGTCGTTGTACCCATCGTCCTGATGACGTCGTTACTCGTCGATTCATTTTGCTCAACTTCTATTTCCTGCTCCCTGCTGTCAAGTATGATGCTGGAAGCCCCGACTTCCACTACGCACTGCGAACAAGCGAAACGAGATAATGAATCCAATTTTCTTTCCTGCGCTGTAGAGAATCAGAATGTTCTATATTTTAACTTATGTTACTCTCAGCCGGGTCAAACCGTTTCACTATATACACTTGGCAAAATATATATAACAGATGCTACATTAATTAAGATTGTACATTTTTAACAATTGATTAATATTCGACATGTTGATACGAGCTATTCAGTTAGATGATTATAAAATTCTCTAAACTGTTTTTCCGATTCGGAGGGTCTTTTTAAAATAATTTGAAAATTTTTCTCTTAAATGGATTCGAAAGATCACCTGTTGTTGATCTGCTGGAGGATGTTCCTCGGTGCAGCTGCTGGAAGTCGTCCCAGCATCTATAAACAAGAAACATATTGACAAATCCGAGAAAAATGAGATGTGTGATAGTTACTCTTAGAATACCAATTGAAACTGTCAACGTATCCACGTTGCTATATCTTTACGTTTAGAATAGGGATGCATCGTTAATGTTGTTCATTGTCTTTATATTATTGCTCATTCTTGGTATTCTGAGATTAAGCTACATTGTCGTACTGTTACTGACCCACAATGGTAGTCGGTCCATCTTCCGCTTGGATAGTCAGTGTATCCGGCGGGGGATGCGAACGCGAGTTCAATCGTCGTAGGGCGTCTTCCTCTGAATCGGAGCTTGTTTCTGGATCCGAGTAGGAGAATGCCTTCCCTATCGGACGAATGTGCTGATTACTGAGAACTGCTCGCAGAGCCTCAAAGAGCCAAGTACTTAACATTCCGATAATTTGACACACAGTAAAATTTACCGTAATAAATTATATAATAATTATATAAATTATACGAATTTTTTAAGCTGTTCTTTTTTATAACGCGACAATTCGTTCGATAAATTTGGAATAACTCTCGCAAGCTCGCAGGAACGAAATTTTAATTATTCTCTGCTCAAGTTCGAAGTAGTGAATCGTCGAAAATTAATTATCCGCAGCATACATGCCGAGAAGTTCCATTTACTTTGGATATCACTGACAGACGGCAGGCAGTTTACGAGATTTTCGCACGGATAAGAATGGAAGGCGGAGTAAACCACTGGATCATGTACCTATGTTTTTCGAGATTTGAGATGTGGAGCTGTTGGTGGACTCACAGAGGGGCACACAGACTCCGCCGAAGAGCGCGGTGGACGAGGGCGGTGTGAAGCACCACTTCCGGGATAAGTAGAGGAAGAGAGCCAGCAGTAGGACTATGAAACCAGCAACGGCACCCAGAACTGCAGTCGCTTCCACAGGTACTGAAATAGCGCCAAGCGCAGATCGGCTTTAACGCGATTTGCGTAACGAGCAAGAAATTCACGCCGCGAAATCCTTTTTCTTTTTGCTCCTAATGCAGAGATCAATCTCCATGCTCAAAGATCGTATTGACACGAGAAAAATGAGTATGAATTGTACACAAATGAAATCAATGATTATAAGGCTCTTTTATTTAAATAAAAGAATCTATAGGAAAATAACGATAAAAGCCAATTGCAAATCTAATTTGCATATATTTATAACACACAGAGAGAATTTTGTAGTAAAAATCGCTATAGAATTTTTTAACCAAGGAACAGGTCGACATTTTGCAATAATTGACTCTCCTTTCATTTCAGACGTCCTATTTTTTAGGAAATAAAATGTGCTATTAAAAAATTGGCTATTTCTAGCAAAATTTTCGATGGTTTTTAGCATATATATAGGCTTTATTTCTGCCTATTAGAGACAGCAAAATTGAAAGTAATTTATATGAAAAAAGAATTTATAATATTTTTCTTCTACTGCACATGCAGATCCAAATCACTTTAATATCAGAACATCTCAATTATATATTTTCATCTTCATTTTACTTTGTAATTTTGATTGAAAGATTCAAGTGACTTGTATCTGCGTATAATATTATTATTAGGACCTTAACTTAGTTTCCGCCCAAAAAATACTGAGAAAAAGCATTTATTGTAAAAAATTTATTTAAATTATTTCAATGAAAGTATTTTCCATCACTTTCTACAACTTTTTGCCATCTTTCTGGCAACTGGGCGATACCATCTCGATAAAACGATGTTTGTTTCGAAGCAATCCATTCGTCCACCCATTCTCGCACTTCTTCAACATTTCGGAAGCGTGT